CTTGAGCTGCCGCTCCTGGCCATGAAATTCTTTATTTATTTATTTTTTACAGACGGAGTCTTGCTCTGTTACCCAGGCTGGAGTGCAGATCATAGCTCACTGCAGCCTTGAACTCCTGGGCTCAAGTGATCCTCCCACCTGAGCCTCCTGGGTACCTGGGATTATAGGTGCCAGCCACTGAGCCCAGCTAAAATAATTGTTGACCTCAGAGACCAAACTTATTCCAAATTTGTGCAGCTGGAGTTATCAAAATAAACTCTTTATCAAATACAAAATGTCCTAATCCTAATCTCTGTGATCTGGTACTTTGTACCTCATTGCTTCAACTTAATCCTATTGTAATGGCTGTTAAATTAGGTGAAGCTTAAAGGGACCATTTTACAGTGAACAAAGTGAAAGTTAGTATAGTCTAGAAAAGCCCGTGTGTGAGGATGAGGTGGGGGGTGCTTAACCCCAAAGTAAGTTACCTGAATTTGCTGTGGAATATAAATGGCAGACAGTATGTGATGGGGGGGCTGGCATACGGCTAAGAGGAAAATGCTCTCCTTTGGGGAACAAGAGTGTCATGGCAGTGCAGCAGTGCCCTAGCAAGAAGGTCCAAATAGAATGCCAAAAGGAGAACCTCTAAACTTAATGACAGGTAAACAAATGAAAAGGGCTGGTGGGGCCAGGCACGGTGGCTCTCACCTGTAGTCCTAACACCCTGGGAGGCTGAGGGGGGAAGATCACTTAAGCCTAGGAGTTTGAGGTTGCTGTGAGCTGTAATGACACCACTGCATCTAGCCTGGGTGACAGAGTGAGACCCTGTTAAAAAAAAAAAGAAAGAAAAAGAAGAAAGGGCTGGTGGTAGAGGCAATCAGCATGGAAGAGGGAAAGAAGACCAGAGGAGATAGTGTAAAGATGGTCTGTGAAACAACCATGAAACTGTGAAGCGTTTCACTTATTCAGCGAGTGGTTGTTGAACCTGTGTTCATAAGTCAGCTATTCCACTAGGTGCTGGGGACACAGGAAGGCATTCTTATAGAAACAACTAAGCAAGAGTGAAAAACTCAAAGCAGCTTGAATGTTGCCTTGGTGAAGTGTGTTAAGCTTGGGGAGCTTAACAAGATGGTACAAGGACTTGGCTGTGTTTTGCCTGCTAACTTCCAGCCTGCCTTTCATTATTAGCTCTTTGCTGGTATGAATCTTTACGTTCATATTTACACCCTCTAGCCATTCAGTTCGATGAAACTTTTGGCTACCCTCAAACATGCTGTACTGTCACATTTAAAGAATTTTGGTTTCAATTGCCCATTAGCCTAGAAGTTTTATTCTTTTAAATTAATTTTCAGAAATTGAGATTAGCCAGAATGAAAATAAAGGTTATGACGACTTAGAATGGAGCTCTGTTTGTTACAGGGTTGCAACTGTTGGGTCCTGATGCTTGAGATTTTACCCTCTTATTTTCCTTTGCAGACACACAAACTCGAGCCACTTCTAAGAGTCTATTACCTGTTAGGTTCAAAGAAGTTGATGTTCCCAGACATCTTCATTCAGGAGGTTCAGAGAATGATGTTATGAAAATCACCAAACCAAAACGAGAGAATGGGTGAGAGCAGATCATTGATATCCAATTTGAACACCTTGCTAGAAATTTCTCAGTACTAAGAATTAGAAAATAGGGCTTGGGGAGCACAAGGCTTCTGAACGACTGGCCTATGATTAGTGGCCCAGAGCAGCACAGCATTGCTTAGCTCTTCGTCACAACCTTCTATATTGATCTGTTCTGAAGAGACACAGCAAGTGTTAGGATGAGAGGAATTCTTTCCTGTCTCATCACTTGCTCTGAACATACAAATGGCAGTACTGTAGTGAAACACCAGCCTTAAGTGGCAGTGGTGAGGAGTGGGGGCTAGTTGTAAGCCTAGGTTGCTGGTCCGAGCGCAGTCCAGCCCCAGTGTGGTGTGTTACGTGTGTCCCCACCCAGCATTTAGTTCCTGGGTGAATGAGGTTGACATGAGATAGCCACAGCATCCTGAGCAGGAGCAGCTCTGTCAGGTTGCTGAGGTGGTCAGGAAGAGCACCCCTTCCCTATTAATAAGCCTTTTTCAGTAGTCTGTGCTGAAACAAAAATGCACGGGTCCTCAGAACTCCCAAGACTATGCTGTTTGCCTTGTATATAATCTCTGGTTCTTTCCTTGGAAACCTAAGCTCGTTGTTCCACCTGATGGCAACACACATAACAGTACTATGATTTTCTGATTAGTTTCTTTGTTTTTGCTTTTCTAGGCAGATGAAAGTTGCAGACACTGCCACCAGGAGGAATGTCAAAAAGGGGTGAGCATCTGGGTAAATGAACTTGGCTGCTGTTTTAGGGTAGTAGGTCTCAATCCTGTTGTGCATCAGAATCACTCGGCCTGGGTGCCACCCCAGAAACCTGAGTGGAATTTTCAGGTGTGAGGCACAGCTAGGTGTGAGAACCATTGTCAGGGCAAGAATCAGTGGTGCTACTATCTTGAGTCCCAGACAAGAGCTTTTTGGGCTCCACACCAGGACAGCTGCTGATTGGAAATCAAACCCAGCTATGGCTCATCAACAGGAGCATGAAGCCTGCAGGATAGGAGGGGTCGCATATGGTTAGTGATCTTGAAGTGGACATTCTGGTGGTGGCGGCAGCAGTGGTGGTAGTAGTTTCATGGAGAAGGATCTGTCTCTATTTGAGGCTAGCTTGCAAGTTTTGCAGTCTTGACAACAGAAATAATAAGCTGAAAAATCTGTACGATAGGTTCTAGTTCCAAATCTATTATTTGGGCATGTCTTAAAAGTTTTGAAGGCAAACTACTAGCAATTGCTTGATATTTTATCATGTTAGAAAAAAAAGAAAGATTACCGCTTATCTAGTGGCTAGGATAAGAAAAGAAAAAACGCTAGCAAGAAAGACTGAGACCTTCAAAAAGGCTTAATACTGATGTTGCGGCCAGGTGCGGTGGCTCACGCCTGTAATCCTAGCACTCTGGGAGGCCGAGGAGGGTGGATTGCTCAAGGTCAGGAGTTCGAGACCAGCCTGAGCAAGAGCGAGACCCCGTC